GATACTCCACTGGTCTCACCCCTTCGGGAACAAGGGAGAATGAAGAGAACAGGATACAAGGAAAAGATTAGTCCAAAGGACTAATGGACCACAGCTACTAAGGCCTCCACCAGACTGAATCCAGTACAGCTAGATGGTGCCCGGCTACCACCACTGACTGCTCTGTGCGGGATCCCAAGAGGCTTCTGGACAGAGCTGGAGAAGGATGTAGAACAAAATTCTAACATACAAAATAAAAGACCAGATTTACTGGCCTGAGAGAGACTGGAGAAACCCCAAGAGTATGGCCCCCAGACCCCTTCTAGCTCAGTGGTGAAGTCACTTCCGAGGTTCACCATTCAGCCTGGGATTGGACAGCTCCATATAACAAAACAGGACTAATGAGGCACAGCAGTCCAGGGACAAGGACTAGAAGGCAGAAGGGGACAGGAAAGCTGGTGATACAGGACTCCAGGCTGAGTAAGGACAGTGTTGACATGTAGTGGGGTTGTTTAACCATTGTCATAGGGCAACATGTGTACTAACTGTTTAATGAGAAACTATTTTGTTCTGTTAAACCTTCATCTAAAGTGAGAACAGCAATACAACTGGAAGAACGTAATCGATGTCACTGAACTGTGCATGTAGAAATTTTTGAAATGGATGCTGTATCTTTGGCTATGTATATTTTCACCAAAAAAAAAAAAGTCGAGAAGGGAGAGGGTTGACATGTCATGGGGTTGTTAACCAATGTCATAAAACAATACTTATACTGACTGTTTAATGAGAAACTATTTGTTCTGTAAACCTTCACATAAAGTACAATAAAATAAATAAATAAAAAAATAAAATAAAGTAAAAGTGGGTCCAGGCTTTCCTTGAAAGAAGAGACTCAAGCAAGAGAGACTTTCTCCAACTGGCCTTGAAGAAGCAAACAGCCATGCTGTGAACTGCCTACAGAGCACGGTGGCCTCTGGAACCTGAGGGCCTCAATCCTACAACTGCAAGGAAATGAATCCTGCCAACAACCTGAATGAGCTTAAAAGAGGACTCTGAGCTCCAGATGGGCCACCGCCTGGCTGCAGCTTTTTAAGAGCCTGAGCAGAGGACCCAGCTATGCTGTGCCTGGACTCCTGACCTACAGAAACTGAAATAATGAATGTATGTTGTTTTAAGCCACTGAGTTGTAGTCATTTATTATGTGGCCAAAGTTAAAAAACCCTACTACATTACTGAATCATTGCTATAGATGAGCTACTTCATGGATTGTTCTAGGTTCCACGAAGGAGGGACCGGTCACAGCTTCTCCACCAAAAAACCTGTGAAACCAGCTACACCTCTCCTGGTTAGCAGACACCACTACCATATGGGCTGGTGAAGCCAATAGAATGCTCACCTTGGCAAGTGCTTCCTCCAGGGCCCTAGTCACATCCTGCGCCAGGGCCAGGGGGCAGCAGAGGCGCAGGTCATTGAAAGCGACCAGAATATTGTTGAGGAAGCAGGCAAGGGGTGGGAAGTCTAATAGCACCATGGGTGGCTGCAGCGTCCCCGGCTGAGTCACCGGCATGGCAGCAGGAATGTTACTGCTACCCAGGATGGCTGGAATCAAGATGAGGGTGTAAGAGTTCATTTCATCCTGAAACTTCTCCACTGCTTCCTGAATGGCTCTTTGGAAGGTGTTAATGGCCACCCGCTGGAAAACAGGAGCCAACTGGCCCCGGAAATCAGCCCCCACTCGACTGAAGGACAGCCCAAAGTACATGCACTGGCCCAGCAGGGAGTCCAGGCGGCCGCCTACCCCCCGGTGAAGGTCAGTCTCCAGCACCTGCAGGAACTGTGAGACCTTCTGTAGCACCCAGCCATGGAAGATTGCACTCTCATTCACAGTGTGCTCCCCCATGGCAGGGGGCAGCAGTGGTTCCTCGTCTGAGAAGATGGCACGGTACTGGGTGATGATATCGAAGAGGTGGACACGGCAGGCCTCGATGGTTTTTGTGATATGGAAATAGGGATCATCATTGGGGATGGCAGTCAGGATGGAACGCAGCCATGCATCTCGTGCCTGAAGAAACTTAACCCTCAGCTCAGCCTCTGTGAAGACATCCATGCGCCGCAGGTGGCCAATGACACGGAGGCATGCGGGGAGCTGGATATTGGTCCTCAGCTGCTGGATCAATTGGCTCAGCATCAGCTGCATGGACTGGCGCACTTCGTTCACAATACCCTAACAATACATGGAGTTAGTTATACCACACTGGAAGACACTCACTGGAACCTGTTCCACTAACCCTGAATGTCGCAGGCTAACATTTCCACTGCTTTCCCGACATATGAAGTAGATTTCCTAAAACTGATGCTTCCAGGTTCACCAACAAAGATCTAGTTGGCCGATTCACTTACTGAAAATGCTTAAAACGATCTAATGACTTCCGATCGCAATCAACAAAATTCCACTACTCACTTGGCCTGGTTCTGCAGCTTCACCTGCTTCCGAACGCGCTTCCCTTGTGTACTACAGTCCAGTTCCACTCGCTGTCTTTGTATCCTCTAAACACGCCAACTCCTTCCCACCTTGGCCTGCTGTTCTTCCCACTTTCTCGTTTGCTCTCTCCCCAAATCTTAATATGGCTGGCTCCTTATCATTTTGGTCTCACTTAAATGTCACCTCTTGTCACGGACCGAATTGTCTCCCCCCAAAAATGTGTTTCTATCAATTTGGCTAGGCCATGATTCCCAGTGCTGTGTGGTTGTCCTCCATTTTGTGACTGTAATTTTACATTGAAAAGGATTAGGGTGGGATTATACCACCACCCTAACCCAGGTCACATCCCTGATCCAACGTAAAGGGAGTTTGCCTGGGTGTGGCCTGCACAGACATAAAAGGAAAGGGAAGCAAGCAGAGAACGGGGGACCTTATACCACCAAGAAAGAAGCACTGGGAGCAGAGCACGTCCTTTGGACCAAAGGTTCCTGTGCAAAGAAGCTCTTAGTCCGGGGGAAGACTGATGATGATGAGGACCTTCCTCCAGAGCCAGCAGAGACAGAAAGCCTTCCCCTGGAGCTGACACCCTGAATTTGGACTTCTAGCCTACTTGACTGTGAGAAAATAAATTTCTCTTTGTGAAAGCCATCCACTCGTGGTATTTCTGTTAGAGCAGCACCAGATGACTAAGACACCTCTCCAGAAAGACCTTTCCTGACTACTCTACCTAATGTAACCCACCCCAGTCTCCCTCGACTCCCTTCCCTGGATTTTTTTTTTCAAACACTTATCACTATCTGAAATGGTAATATTATTTATTCATTTGTCAATTATCAGACTTCACACGAGAATGCTAGCTTTATAAGAGAGCCAGGGCCTCCTCTACTTTGTTCACACTGTATCCCCAGTGCCTAGATCAGTACTTGGTAGAAGATTGATACGTATTAGTTGAATGAATGAACATTTTATGTTCAAACCTGCCTGGCTTGTAGAAACTGATGCGAAACATGCAAGGGGTTTCCTTAAGGATTCTGCCTAAAGGTTCAGTGATGACCACAGAAATACTGGTTGTGAGAACACCAGTTTGAATCTTGTCTGGGCAAATTAGCTACCTGGATGACAGGGATGGAGGAGTATTTTCTTTCCAGTCGGCGTACGTAGGCTGCAAGCTCCAGGGCCTCTTCATAATAGCTGTTGCGGACACAAGTATCCATAAGCTGAGGAATCTCTAGGATTTCTAGGATCTCTGTGTGCCGGTTCAGAGTCAGGGTGTTCATTCGGCGGTTGGAGCTGATCTCCTCAGCCTCCTTCACAAAGTTCCTAGTAACAATCAGGAGAACATTGGTCCTTCGTTGCTCTACACCCAAACCTTAGCTACAATTAATTACCAACCACTTACTATGAACTGAGCACTGGGTTGAAGGGTTTATCTATTTAATCCTCACACCAAACTTATGGGGTAAGTGATATTACTCCTGAGGAACCTTTAATTCTAGAGAGGTTAAGCAACTTGCTCAAGGTCACACAACTAATAAACAATAGAGCACAAATGTGAACCCAGATCTGTCTGCCACTTACTAACTGGGGCAAGGGACTTAGCCTCTCTGAACCTGTTTCCTCATTGATAAAATAATAGGACCCCTTATAAGGCTATAAGGATTAAAGTAATTGATCCAGGTAAAGCACTTAACATAGACCCTACCAAGGAGTAAATGTTGTTTAATAATAGCTACTATAATTATTTTCATAAAAACATGAACTAGCTTAGAAGTCAATGTCTTATTCCCAAATTCTCCCAGTCTCTTAATCTCCTATGCTATTGTTCAGCCTTAGTTCCCACCACAGTCTACTCTCTCCATTTTTCCTCCACAATAGCAGAGACCTGCGTTATGAAATTCCTTATCTGTTCTAGGAGGTGGAAGGGTACAAAGCTGCTGTTAAATATCCAAAGGCTCAAAAGAAAAATTAAAATTTTTTCACAAAGGGCTAGAATGCAGAATGAGGAATAGTGGATTGAGGATATAGGAAGGCAGAATTTGGCACAAAACAGAGGGCCTTTTTGATAATTTTGCTGTCCCAAAATGGGAGAGTTTCCTATCACTTAAAGTTTTGGAGCAGATGACCACTGGTGAGAGTTGTTTTATATAAATACGCACATGTCTATTAAGTTTCCATTTATAGAATGTTAACTATATGCCAATGATAAGCGTTTTGCATGGATTCTCTTTAGTACTCACCACAGCCCTATGAGGCAGGGATGTGCTCTTGGGTTCCAATTTTGGCTTCAAAACTTACTAGCTGTGCCCCTGGACGAGTCACTAACCTGTTTCTCAACTTCCTCGTATGTGAAATGGGAATAACAGTACCTACCTCAAAAGCTGTTGTGAGAATTAAACGGATTAATGAAGCGCGCAGAGGAGAGCCTGGCATATGGTAAGCGCTTTGTGTCAGCTATTTCTATCATCATAAATGTCAACTATTATACTTGTTAAAAGCCCCCTTTAGCGCCGGGCCGCCGCACCTGCAGCTCTGCTGGAAGCTGGGCAAGCGGTCAAGTAGGCGGCCGAGCGACGCCTCCACGTCGCCGAAGAGGCGATGGATGCGTTCGGTGCACTCGGCGCCGCGGATGAAGGTCTTATAGTTGGCGAAAGCCAAGTCGCGTGTCTGCTGCAGCAGTTGCGCCCGGTCCTCCGCCAGGCGCTCGGGCTCGCGCCGCAGCCTGTCCAGCCCAGAGCCGCTCAACTCTCGGAGGTAGCGGCCCACGTCGGGTCGCTCTCGCCACTGAGCCTCGGGGAAGCGGTCCCGGAACAGCGATGCCAGGAGTCCTTCATCTTCCACCTCTCCGAGAGCTGCTGCTGTGGCCGTCGCCATGGCCGAGGCCGTAGTCGATGGCGGGAGAGTTGCCGTGGCCTCCATCTTCCCAGCAGCAGCGTCGTTTCCCCTCCGGACGAGCGAGGGCGTTGGCTCCGAATCTAGGACCGGAAGCAACAGGGACTCATTTCCCGTCACTATGGCTTCTTACCCGGCTGGCTTCTCTTCCCTGGCTGTCGTCCACGCTAAGAGGCGCGGGCGTGGAGAACGAATGGAAGGCGGCTAGAGAGGCAAGCTTTGAGGTTGCCAGGGAGCCGCTGACGGCCGACTTCCGTTTCCGGCAACTGTGGCACGAGGATTCGGTGTTCCGGCCTAGCGGGAAAATGCGGCCTTTGACTGAAGAGGAGACCCGTGTAATGTTCGAGAAGATCTCGAAATAGTAAGAGCGTGCGGGGCGGAAGAGTGTGTGTGTGACGGGTAGGGGCGTGGGTGGCATGGGCTGCGGTGCCGGGACGAGTCAGTGCGGGCGCAGCCTCGCGTCATTTTTCTACCCTCAGCATCGGGGAGAATCTTCAGCTGCTTGTTGACAGGCCCGACGGCACCTACTGTTTCAGACTGCACAACGACCGGGTGTACTACGTGAGGTGAGGCGAGGCCGGGCGGACAGTATGACCCGGGTGGGGGCCTGGGTCCCACAATGCCTCCTTCATCCGACACCTTCCTCCCCTTACCGACCTTTCAGTGAGAAGATCTTGAAGCTGGCCGCCAACATTTCTGGGGACAAGCTGGTGTCACTGGGGACCTGCTTCGGAAAATTCACTAAGACCCACAAGTTCCGGTTGCACATCACAGCTCTAGATTACCTTGCACCCTATGCCAAGGTTTGTGGGATGGTTTCCATTCTGGGGACAGAGAAAGTTAAGAATGAGGATCACATCAGAACGCACATTACAGGGAAGTTTCCCTCCCACAGAGTCCTGACAGTTGTTAGGTCTGTACCAACACATGGAGATGTTTATGGGTCTTGATTCTTGGGCAGGGTGAGGGTTATCGGTGTTGGACTGCTGTGTGTCTTTATAGTCTTAGTTATTGCAAGCAAAGTAGAGGAGCCTATGCAGGCTAGCTAAAGATTGAAAAGCAAATAGGTGGCTGTGATAAGAAGGGTAGTGGGGTACAGTGAAAGAGCTGTTAAATAGTTCATGGGAGAAGTTGTTTATAGAGTTCAGGGAAGACCCTCCTGGCAGTTCTGCTCAGGGTGTGAACAATTTAAGGGAAGATAATATGCTTAAGGATTCCTTGGGCTGTGCAGACAGTTAATGCTCTCAGCTGCTAACCTATCCAGAGACACTTCAGAAGAAAGACCTAGCATCTACTTCTGAAAAGTCGGCCATTGAAAACCCTATCGAGCAATTGAAAGTTCCCATGGACACTGACACACATTGGGTTGCTGTGAGTCCAAATTGACTCCACTGCAACTGGCATTGCTAATATGCTTTAGCATTCATCTTTCCCTCTTTTGCTTAAAATTCTTTCAAGGAATTAACCACAGGTTTAACTTTCTTTTTTATAGTATAAAGTATGGATAAAACCTGGAGCAGAACAGTCCTTTTTATATGGGAACCATGTGTTGAAATCTGGTCTTGGTCGAATTACTGAAAACACCTCTCAGTACCAGGGAGTGGTGGTGTACTCCATGTCAGACATCCCTTTGGTGAGTAGAGATGGTATTTGTCTGTCACAAAAAAAATTGAGTACCTTTTTATGCAAGAAGGATGTATTTTCAAACCGTATGCTGAGAGACTAAATTCTCAGTACATTTTGAATTCCATCTTTGTTATTCCCAGCCCTCAATACATGCTTATCGAATGACTCAGTGAATCAGTGTCTCTTCTCTTGAATCCCAGGGTTTTGGGGTGGCAGCAAAGTCTACACAAGACTGCAGGAAAGTAGACCCCATGGCGATTGTGGTATTTCATCAAGCAGACATTGGGGAATATGTGCGGCACGAAGAGACATTGACTTAAAACGAAGTCATCGCAAGGACTTGTGGCTGTGTCGAAGGGCCTGGGTTTGTTACCTGTGTCTGTGTAGGTGCCATCATCGTGTTGAGTTTTGTCAACAGTGTGACCTCTTCAGGGACTTCTTGGTTTAACATTCTCTTTATTGGCAAATGCAGGCTGGATTCTTGCTGTACAGAAATGACTCAAAAATGGGGTTTTAGATCTTTGTGTTTGTGACTAAATAGAATGAAGTGTTTTTTATTTGAATCAGAGGGCTTTTCCTGTTCTTAATCTTTGGAACTAAGGACAAGAATAGCTTATTACTGTTATCTGTGATAACACTTTGCTTTCCACACTCGTGATAAGAACATGATGGATTTCTTTGTTATTTATTAATATTATGAATGATATTGTTGTATCAGAACCATAGGCCATGTTTGGGATTTTACAAGTGAGATTTGGCAAAATAATAAGAGCAATTCTATTTTTCTATACAGTAAGTGCTGTGTGGTGTGGAAGAAAACCTGGATTCAAACCCCAATTCTGCTGCTTACCAGCTCTGTAGCCTTGGATGGATCATTCAGCTTTTCTAAGCTTTGTTATCTTTTATAAAAAACAGCTTTAACCATCTACCTATGTGGTTTTTAAAATCGAAGATCATGATTGTAAACGTCTAGCACAGTGCCTGGCAAGCGGTAGATATTCAATAAATGATAAGAATTATTATTTTCATATTGCGTATACTGAGTATTTCTGTTCTTAAGAGTAGGGTCTGATGAGTATAATTTGATTATATTGGTTTTTAGGAGCTGTTTTGTTGATCTTTTCTCGGATGGTATGATCGCAAGCTGAAATCTTTTTCATCACCTTTGACTTCATAAAACATGATTTCTTTTATGAACGTTATCTAGCTGGATTGGACAAAAGCACTAATGATAGACCCTGAAATAATAATTCAGCTCCTTCCTCCTTCCCCATGCCTTCCAAAATTATTTTCAGAATTTTACATACAAAAATCCAAAATAAATTAAACTATTTCTTTGATGAATATACTGCTCATTTTTTATTCCAGAGGTAACATCTTTAAAAATAAAATATTTTTCAACTGCAAAAGGGCACTCTACGAACTCTTGTTTTTATGTACAAACTGTAACTTGATTTTGTCCCAACTTTTTGAACTTTTCCCCTTTTCAGCTTCTGTGTTAATCTCTAAATACTGGTATCTGATGGACAGCATTTTGATGGTAGCATACCTTAGAAATAGCCAAGCTCAAAATTTTTACATTGTTTCTCTTTTATTGCCATTGTGTTTTTGTAGATGAGAGCAATAGACTAAAACTTTAGCAGGAGAAATTGATTTTTTCCAATAACTTTTCAAAGCTCATTTGATCATTTTCTACCCCAGAAGAAAAGAGCCAGAGTGCTATAGTCCTCCTAGCTTAGCATCTTGGCTTTTTTGTGTCCGTAGTTGCTGGAGCGTTGAAGAGACGCTTCAAGAAATACAGCTGCAGGAGCCCAGAAAGAATAATGACGAGGCTCTGGGCTGTCGACCACCAGTTCACGTAGAAATAGTTTGATTGGAGAAGGAAAAAGTCACCCGTTTTCCTCATCCGGGCAAAGTTGTAGTATCGCCACATGTGAAAGATATTGTTCTGCACCTTTCGTGTACTCGCCTGTGGGAGAGAAAATGAATTTTGAGAAAAGGGTCCTGCTGCCAACCTTGTGCTCACCCGGGTGCTCACAAGCACTATAACCTATCTGGAAGTTAGTAACGTACTCATACGGATTTATGATATGTGATAAGGCTATTGCAGTTGTTGATAAATGATTAGTTTTGCTGTATATGAAAAAATGGCTTGCACTTTAAGTTAAAATAATTTTTTCTACTGAAAGCTTTAGTACTTAAACTAGACAGCCTTTATAACAGGATCTCGAGATATAGACAGGTACTCAGCACATCATTGCATTGCACCATCCAGGTGATATCTTTTGCTCTTCTCTCTATATGGTGGAAGACGGGCTAGTAGAGTTTTTATTAAAAGTGCTGCATAGTAAACATTTTAGGTTTTGCAGGACATACAAACGAGCTGTGTTGCTAGTACTCAACTCTGCCATTATATTACAAAAGTAGCCATAGTTTATATGTAAATATGCATGGCTGTGTTCCAGTAAAACTTTATTTACAGAAATAGGCACTGAACTTCTGTGCTTCAAAAGACACTATCAAGAAGGTGGAAAGACAGCCTACAGAATGAGAGAAGATAGATGCAAATCAGAAATCTAGTAAGGGTCTAGTATCCAGGATGTATAAAGAACTCTTTAAAACTCAACAAAAAAAGACAAATAACCCAATTTAAAAATAGGCAAAGAATTTGAATAGACATTTCTCCAAATAAGATACACAAATGGCCAATAAACACATGAAAAAATACTCAACATTGTTAAAAATTAGGGAAGTACAACTCAAAACAACAATGAGATACCACTTCTTACACACTGGGATGGCTATAATAAAAAAGAAGACAGTAACAAGTTGGAAACAACGTGGAGATAGTGCAACCCTCATACATGACTAGCGGGATTGTAAAATGCAGCCCCTATGGAACACAGTTTGGCGGTTCTGCAAAATGTTCAGCAATTACCATATAACCTAGCAATTCAACTCCTGGGTGTATACCCATACAACTTGAAAGCAGGAACTCAGATACTTGTACACCAATATTGATAGAATTATTCACAGTAATACAGACAGAATTATTCACAATCCAACAGGTGGATGGATAAACAACGTATATACATACGGTGGAATATTGTCCAACCGTAAAAAGAATGATGTACTGATAACGTGCTGCAACTTGGGAGAACCTTGTAAACATTATGCTAAGAAGCCAGACCCTGGGTCACATGTTATATGATTGCATTTGTATAAAATGTCCAGAACAGGCAAATCTATAGAGACAGAAGGTAGATTAGTGGTTGCCAGGGACTGAAGGGAGAGGGGAATGGAGATACTGTTAATGGTTATGGAGTTTGTTAGGGTGGTGGTGGGGGGATAGTGGTGATGGTTGCACAACCTTGAGAATACTTAAAACCACTGAATTGGACACTTTAAAATGGTGAATTTTATGGCATGTAAATTGTAGCTCAATTTAAAAAAAAAAAAACAAAAAGCATGGTCGGCCAGATTTGGCCTGTGAGCTGGTTTGCCAATCCCTGGTATGAGACAAGTGAGGGATTTCAAGAGTTTTAAGTCACAAAAGTTTATTAAAGGCCCTTTGATAAACTGGCCCGTTTTCTGTCATATACAAAGAAGAACAAAAGACAGCATCCCATTTCATGTTTGGTTTCTACCCAAATGAGTAGTCACTCCAATGCTACTACTCCCATAATTTTAATCTCTCCAAATTTAAAATCTGCTTCCATGGATGTTTCTCCCAAAAACACTTAATTACCTCAATTGCATCCAGAGTGTCATTCAGTTGTTTTCTTTCATTCTTCTCTTTGTGATCCACCTCAGGCCCCTCATAGAAGACTCCAAAGTTTAGATACACTTGTACAGAACCAAAGCGGTTTTGCAGGTTTCTTAGACAAAGCTGATAAAAACCTGTAGGGATTCCTAGATCATTACCAAATATTTGGTCTCCCACCCTTTGTTAAGTTTCCTCTAGAGGTACCTGTACTCTAGTGTTAAATTTGTTAGCACAGCACTTTGTTTTCACTTGGGAAGTACAAAGATAGAAGTTTTGACATGCAGGACTGATCCTACACAAAACTCATTTTACTAAATATAATCATTTTTATAAGTATTTTACCAAATACTAGTAGATATACACTGGGTATAAAACTGTTTTCTCCCTCTTTTCCAACCTACAATTTCTTATTAAGTAACTCCTTTTTGGAAGATGAAGACTCAACAAATTGAGCTGAAATTAAGAGCATGATGTTAATTTCCTCCTCATTGTACACCATTAAAGCTGGGGGCCACCATCTTGAACTGGAAATTAGGGAAAAAATTGATGCATTGTGAATGAAAGAAACTATCCTGCTAGAGTGAACTCTCCATAAAGTGGTCCATACAGGGTGCCGATTATTTGGGGTGTGTACTAGTACTGGTTCTCAACTGGGGTTGGCCCCCTGTGTGGGAGAAGGACTGGGATTAGAAATGTGTGGCAGTGGTTTTGATCGTCAAAATGATTAGAAGGCACTACTAGCATTTAAGGGCCAGGGATGCTAAGTATCCTGAAATGGTGACTATCCTGTGCTACACAATGAAGATTGTCTTGTGTCAGTGATGCCCCTCTTGAGAAATGCTATTTTAGTACTCCTGACTAGTAAAGAAGGAGTCTGAGGGTGTTGTAAAAACACGCTTGGCTGGTAACTGAAAGATTGGAGGTTTGAGTCCACCCAGATGTGCCTAGGAAGGAAGTCCTGGTGATCCACATCCAAAAAATCAGCCATTAAAAACCCTATGGAGCACAGTTCTACTCTGACACACATGGGGTTACCATGAGCCAGAATCGACTCGATGGCAGCTCGTTTGGTTGACTAGTAAAGAAAGCAGTTAAAGCATGCCGGTGCTGTTCAAGGTGGGGATCGGCTCTGTCTGGCTGTAGGAATCTTCTGGTGACTAGAGAAATGTGCTTTGTTGTAGAGTGCAGATATTTCACGTTACCATCCGTCTTCTTTTGTTCTAAATCTGCGTTTAGGTAACTGACTCAAGTATTCTGATAACCAGAAAGAAATGCTACCCCATAGTACATTTATTCATTGAGCTTCTATATTATAAATGGGCTTCTCTGTTTTGGTTACTTTCTCAGAATCTGATCAGCTGGGGATGATGAGATAAAATAGAGCTTATGGATCCTGGAGTTCTTATAATAATTAGTCAGCTGGAGACCCTGATTCCAAACTGCCAGTGGACTGTCGCTGGATATTGTTGGATGTCAGGAGTCTCTTGTTTAATGGGTAGAAACCTGAATTTTTTCCCCCTATTGTTTCATCATATCTATATGGAAAAGGCTAGGCTTTTATATTTTAGGTCCTTAACTTCAGTACTTCCTCATTATTTCCTCAATTTTGTAGAAATCTATGATTATTATACAAATAGGTGTGGTGATGAGAACAGACCTGTCTCTTGGATGTAGAAGTTAATCTGACCCCGAACATCCTGGGAGGTGTCTATCAGGAAACCTTGTGGTGTATGTGCGGTGGCAGCAACATGCCGGTCATGTGACATTCCCAGTGTCCGCTGAACCTGCCAAGACAAATTAAAGAAGGAGAAAAGCCCTAAGTGATAAGGTTGACATCCCATAATCAGCAGCGCAATGGTTCTCAATCAGGAATGGTACTCCCTCCCCACCCCTGCCTTCTGGGGTGTTTGGAATTGAACAGAGGCTCTTTTTAATTGTCATAACGATGGGGTTGCAGCAACGCTGAATGTCCTGCACTGTTTGGGACAATATTGCAGGAACAAGGAGTTGTCTTGCCCAAAATGCCAACAGCGCCTGTCCTGCTGAGAAAGAAGACATGTCTCACAGCTGGTGTGTATCAGTTGGTATGTATTATTTTCTCTGTAGAATTCTTGACTAAACTTGCTTGGTTGTTGAGCTTCCTGGTGGTGTCCCAGACTTGGGTTTATTTGCTGCTTGACAGCCGTGCCTACAGCAGGCACTCCAGGGAAACTTGTTCCCAAACTGGGTCTTGATGAACCCAGACTACAAAGAGCTGATCAGTAGCTATTGTTATATAAATTCAGAGATAAGAAAAAATTCAAAGTGAATTTTAAGTTACAGTGGAATTGAGTAAGATCAATGTAATCTATTACTATGTAAACAAAAACTAGAAAGTTAACAGGAGGTTCCTTAGATCAAGAACAAAGGAAATCAACAGCCCTAACTTTACTATTGATCTAACCATCTTTGGGCACTATGGTGTAAGATCACATGGGTAAAACTACTTGGCCTTTGAGGCATTTCAGAAATTCAGCACCACTGAAGGATATTTAAGATGATCTACCTAACTAATTCCTCTTTACAGCTGATAGGCCCGTGAGTGGCACAAATTCAAGTACTAGAATTTCAGTAACAACAACAACAACAAAACCAAACCCATTGCCATCAATTCTGACTCATACCGACCCTATAGGACAGGGTAGAACTTCCCCATAAGGTTTCCAAGAAGTAGCTGGTGGATTTGAATGATGACCTTTTAGTTAGCAGCCTGAGCTCTTAACTACTGCGCCACCAGGGCTCCAGAGTTTCAGTATAACCAGGTAATTTGAAAACATTTACTTTCCTAAATAGGATTGTTTGATTGAATGGAGAAATCTTGTGCTAGTGGTTCTCCAATTTGCAGAAATTACCCCTAAAGATAGGAAAACAGATGTTGCTCCACCTACTCCTTGAACTGAAGCAGCTTTCTTTAAAATCTCTGGGTCTACAAAGTTCACGTGACTGTTTCAACTTTGTACCACATCCATGTTTTAATAGTTTAAAAATGTATTCGCTCCCGCTCATCTCTACATCTGGGTAAATTTTGTTACCTTTTCAGGAAGGGGTACCCTGTGCTGAGTACCCTGTTTGGGGGCTTTCAGCACACTTCCATAGCTCCCAATTTGAGAAGCCAAGCCATATGTTTTAGTTCCCATTAATGATTATTCATCTCCCGGCAGTTTCTATCTAGCTGCAAGTCCATTTCATTAACAGGTAGGAAATCACAGCATAATAAAGACCAGAATTTTGTTTCGTTTAAGACTTGACCCACTTTACAAAAGGAAAAAAAGGTAGGTGCCCAACTACCTACCTCGTAGCTGAAATAGAAATAGCCAGTCTGGTAGGCAAATTGCCAAAAGCATTCTGAACCTCTTGGTGGGATCATGATGGCAAAATCATAACGGTCTGCTCCACGGAAGAGTGGCTGTTCCCCAGAGTCACTTAGGGGTTCTGTCTTCTGGCTCCTAGCAGAGGCCACTAGGTTCAGAACCACCAGCCCAGCACCAAAGAACAAAGGACACATACTGCTTTCTGGGTTCCTCTGCAGGTGTATACTGCTTGCAACCCAGTGGAACCAAGTAGTCCACACAAACACTAGGGTAATCATTAACTCCACAAGTCATGTTTAGGCCAATTTCAGGGTGACACATAGATATTCCATAATAGAACCGGCATGATACTTCCATGTTTGACTCACAGGAAAAGTTTTAACTTTTACCTCAAAAACTTAATGGCTTATCAAACCTATTTCATAACTGATACATAGAAGCTACTACCTCAAGATAGTTATTTCCATTCTTGCTTGTTGGAGATAAAATGTTGGGTAAGTTTATTTACAACCACCTGGATATACTGACAGAAGTCGGCTGTGAGATTTTTCTCTCCTTCACTCATGTCAAGTTGCTAGGTGATACATATTGCTCCTATAAAATCCATGGGGCAACAACTGCTTCAACAGGCATTTTTCTGTAGCTTAGATAGCACAGCACAGCATTCAGATACGTGCAGAAATTTAAAGGGATGAATACAGGGAGCAGCAAGAGACAGAGTTCAAAACCTCTCCACTGATAATCCTGCTTGTTGTGATTCTGCAACCTTCCACCTGACAAGATACGGTCATCAAAAGCTATCTATCTAAAACCCACTTAAAGGCTTGTAGTAGAGGATATTGCGTGGTTTAAAATCAGGAAAGGTGTACATCAGGGGTGAATCCTTTAACCATGCCTATTCAGTCTGTATGCTGAGCAAATAATCCGAGAAGCTGGACTATATGAAGAACAGCGTAGCATCAGGATTGGTGGAAGACTCATTAACAACCCGTGATATGCAGACAGCACAGCCTTGCTGAAAGCGAAGAGGACTTGAAGCACTTACTGATGATGATCAAAGACTACAGCCTTCAGTATGGGTTATACCTCAACATGAAGAAAACAAATCCTCACAACTGGATCAATAAGCAGCATGATGCTAAAGAGGAAAATATTGAAATCAAGGATTTCATTTTACTTGGATCTACAGTCAACGCACATAGAACCAGCGGTCGATAAATCAAACAAGGTATTGTGTTGGGCAAATCTGCTGCAAAAGACCTCTTTAAAGTGTTGAAAACCAAAGATGTCACTTTGGGGACTAAGGTGCATCTGACCCAAGCCATGAGTCTTAGGCTGGGTTCTCTAGAGAAGCAAAAACCAGTGAAGCGTGTTTATATGTGTGTGTGCGTGCGCGCGCGCGCACGCGCGTGTGTGTGTAGAGAGAGAGAAGAGAAGAGAAAGATTTATCTCAAGGAAATGGCTCACACAGTTGTAGAGGCTGGCAAATCCCAAATACATGGGTCAGGCATCAGGCTGGAGGCTTCTACTGACTCACATAGGCTGGGGGGCTGACAAAACCAAGATTGGTAGGTCAAACAGCAGGCCACTGGCGCAAAGGCTACGGAGACTGATGAATCTCAAGATTGGCAGGTCAGATGGCAGGCAGTCCACTGGATCACAGGCTGCAGAGGCTGATGAATCTCAAGATCTGCAGGTAAGCTGCTAGTTCAAGTCCCAAGACATGGAGGTCACATGATGGTGAGCAGGATGCAGGATCCAGAGCAAGAGCCTTTCTGGAACATCCATTTATATACTGGAGGCAGGCCACACACCCAAGGGATTCCCTTTCACCAAACTAGCTGCTCATAGCAGATCTTATCATGAAGTCGATTACATAACTGCCAAACCACTGAGAATGATGGCCCAGCCAAGTTGACACATGACATTAACCATAACATTACACCCCTTGCCAACTTGGCACCTGTACACATCTTAAACCCTACATAATCTCTAAATTAAGACAATTATAGAGTCATACTTGAATGTAATATACAATTAACACAAGTCCAACTGAAAACACACTAGCCCTGTTTACATCTTACAAGTGAGGAAAACAAAAATATTTGATGCCCACATACAAGGAAGAAGTATTCATAACACTTATAGTTCTTTGTGTAAATACTCACATGGTGTAACTGGTATCTAGAACTACTACCTTCCACCACTCATTCTGTATTCCTGTTATCCTCAGCAAGCACCTCAGCTGGTCATGGTTATTCACCTGGTTGGGTGACCCAAACCTTTATTCATGAAGGGTCTGGGCCATTAGTAGTCATGTCAAAATGGGATTGCTGTAATTTTCCATTGACTTTAATTACAGGGCATGGGAGTATTAGGAGATGCCCTAAGGGATCTCCTGTATTCCAGACTTTTATGGATTGAATTGTGTTGCCCAAAAATACGTCTCAAATTGGCTAGGCCATGATTCCCCGTATTGTATGGTTGTCCACCATTTTGTGATCTTATGTGACTATCCTATGTGTTGTAAATCCTAACCTTTATGATAATAATGAGGCAGGAGTAGAGGTAATTATGTTAATGAGGCAGGACTCAATCTATAGCTTTAGGTTGTATCTTCAGTCCATTTCTTTTTGAGATATAAAAGAGAGAAACAAGCAGAGAGGAGAGGAACCTCATGCCACAAAGAAAGAAGCACTGGGAGCACAGTGCATCCTTTGAACTCAGGGTCCCTGCACTGAGAAGCTCCTAGACCAGGGGAAGATTGATGACAAAGACCTTCCCCCAGATCCAATAGAGAAGGAAAGCATTCCCTGGGAGCTGGCACCCAGAATTCAGACTTCTAGCATCCTAGACTGTGAGAGAATAAAATTCTGTTACAGCCATTCACTTGTGGCATTTCTGTTATAGCAGCACTAGGTAACTAAGACACAGACATACTCTTCTGTGCCTCCATTATGGAATATCAATCTGATTTTTTCTTGGTAATTAGGATCAATCACATCAGCCAATATGGTAACTCCCTTCTTTGCCTTTTGATCCAGAGGCATGAGGAGACCCAAGTGGCCAGGGGGCATTCTTAAATTCCGGTTCAGTGAAATCAGTGATGTGTCACCAGGTGGGAGCATTCCTCCCTTTGGAACTAAGGCCTCTAGACTCACAGAGCATAGGGTTGTGGGGACATGTAGCAAAAATTTTGCAAGTGGTGCCACTCCCATTTCCACCCCTTGGTTCCTGGACTCATGAATCCTGGCTATGGGGAAAACAGCACAATATGTTAGATGCTGGTTTAGAGCATATACAGTCTTATGGAGACTGTCCCCCCAACCCTGCAAGGTATTGCCACCTAGCTGGCCCTGTGATTGGGTCTTTAGAAGGCCATTCCATCATTCCATCAAGCCAGCTGCTTCAGGATGATGGGAAACATGGTAAGACCAGTGAATTCCATGAGCATGGGCCCATTCTTGTACTTCAATTGCTGTGTGGTGAGTTCCTTGATCCAAGGTGGTGCTGTGTGGGATACCATGACGGTGGATAAGGTGTTCTGTGAGTCCAAGGATGGTGGTTTTGGCAGAAGCATTGTGTGCAGGGAAGGTAAATCTCTATCCAGAATAAGTGTCTATCCTAGTAAGAATGAAACATTGCCCTTTCCATGATGGAAGTGGTCCAGTGTAATCGACCTGCCACCAGGTTGCTGGCTGATCACCTCTAGGAATGGTGCCATATAGGGGACTCAGTGTTGGTCTCTGCTGCTGACAGATTGGGCACTCAGCAGTGGCTGTAACCAAGTTGGCCTTGGTGAGTGGAAGTGTGTGTTGCTGAGCCCATGTGTAACCTCCATCCTTTCCATCATGGCCACTTTGTTCATGAGCCCATTGGGCAGTGACGGAAGTGGCTGGGAAAAAGGGAATGACTGATTTCCACAGAATGTATCATCCTATCCACTTGATTATTAAAGTCATCCTCTGCCGATGTCACACTTTGGTGAGCATTCACAAGAGGCACAAATATCTTCACTTCTTTGGCCTATTCAGAGAGGTCTCTCCACATACCTCTTAGCTGTACCTCCTTGTCTCCAATTTTCTAATCATGTTTCTTCCAAGTCCCTGACTATCCAGCCAAACCATTGCCCATAGCCCAGGAATCAGTATATAGTTGCACATCTGGCCATTTCTCCTTCCAAGCAAAGTGAACGACCAGGTACCCTGCTCAAAGTTCTACCCATTGGGAGGATTTCCCTTCACCACTGTCCTACAGGGAGGTCCCAGGAAGGGGCTGTAGTGCTGCTGCTGTCCACTTTTGAGTGGTGCATGCATATCGCACAGAACCATTTGTAAACCAGGCACGAGTCTCTTCCTCAGTCAACTGATCATAAGGAACTCCCCATGAGGCCATAGGTACAGTCTAGGAGAGGGCAGGTAATGTGACAGGAGCGGGGACCATGGACATTTGGACCACTTCCTCATGCAACTTACTTGTGCCTTCAGGTCCTACTCAGGCCCGATCTCATATATACCACTTCCATTCAATGATGGGGTGCTTCTGTGCATGTCCGACTATATGACCGTGTGGGTCAGACAACATCCAGTTCACGATGGGCAATTCATGATGCTGACTTGGTGTCCCATGGTTAAGCATTCAATCTCTGCTAAGACCTAGTAACAAGCCAAAAGTTGTTCCTCAAAAGGAGAATAGTTATCTGTATAGGATGGCAGGGCTTTGCTCCAAAATCCTAAGGGCCTGTGCTGTGATTCACCAATAGGGGCCTGCCAAAGACTCCAAACAGCATCTTTATCTGCCACTGACACTTCGAACACTATTGGACCAGCTCGATCATATGGCCCAAGTGGCAGAGCAGCTTGCATGGCAGCCTGAACCTGTTGCAGTGCTTTCTTTTGTTCTGGGCCCCACTCAAAACTAGAAGCTTTTTGACTCACTTGATAAATAGGCCAGAGTAGCACACCTAAATGAGGGATATGTTGCCTTCAAAATCCAAAGAAGCCCACCAGGTGTTGTGTCTCTTATTTAGTTGTGGGAGGGGCCACATGCAACAACTCACCTTTACTTTAGAAGGAATATGTCAACATGCCCCACACCACTGGACTAGAAATTTCACTGAGGTGGAAGGCACCTGAATTTTTGTTGGGTGAATTTCCCACACAAATGTCTTACCAATAAGTCTAGAGTCACTGATACTTCTTCCTTACTAGGTTCAGTCAGCATAATGTCATCATTGTAATAGAC